ATGTAATCGAAGCAATCATTGGCGCAATTTGCTGCTCAATCAGCGACATTTCAGCGGCAATCAGACCCTTCTCCGTGGGTTGAGCACGCTGATTGGTGTCGTTGTACCACTCGGCAATGCGCAACAGCTTGATGCGAGCTTGCTGTGGAGAAAATGGTTTAAAAGAGAATATTTAAGCATTCGAAAACATCTCCGTTTAGCCCACCCAAAGCTCCTCTTCGCGGCTAAAGAATTTCATTAAATTTGGGTTCAGTTGACAGCCTAGCAAACGCAGCACTTTGATGTCTTTCAGGGCTATCTTTAGGCGCTCCGTAAAATTAACACTGATCTGTCCCTCCCCGTCCTTGAGCAGCAGCGTCAGAGCCATATCCTCTTGAATGCCCTGCCAGCACTCCACCATCCACTTGTCTAATATTTGCTTAATAAAATCATCAATTTCGTTCAGCATTTGATTGTAGATACTCATGATATTGGCACCGTGTTCATTGTCGAAGAGGCTTCAGGAAAAAGTATTTATAATGGGAGTATTTTTATAAGGTTTACAATACTCACGGATAATCGTACATCTCATGTTCTTTATTCATGGCTGTTATGCGATATCTGAGCTTCTTGAGCCACGACACAGCGCCCGAAACTTTGGGAAAACAATCATCGGTTTGTAGTTCCTGGCAAAAATAAACCAAAATTAAGTTAAATAAAAGTTTTGGCTCTACTTAACTCTACTTACATCCACACCCTTTGTCAGGTAGGCGCTTTTGAACTCATTAAAGTCCTCTTTGACATTCATAATCTCCTCTTCGAAATCATCCACTATGACGTGCATAAAGGGATCCATGTGTGTCTTGATGACGGGTCGCATTAGCAGCGAGCCGCCCAGCAGCAGCTCATGTGTGTCCTCGAGAGCCTTCTCGAACTGAAACGATATCATGCGCTCCATGATGTCCGTTTTGGCCTGGAACTTCAAGCGATCCTCTTCGAAGTGGGAGTTCTCCGCATCGGGATCGAGTGGATTGTACTGAATGTTCGTCCACTCGCGATAGGTGTTGTTGAAGTCTTCGAGGATTTTCTCCAGTGCGGCTGTAATCTGCCGCCCCCTGAGGCCACCCATTACAATCTTCTCCAGCTTGACGAAGTCACGGCCCGTGTTGAACATCTCCTTCAGTTCGTGCAGCCGCTCCATGAATGCATCCAAGCGTGTAAAGATTTTCTCTGGATGCCAGGTCCAGTCCTGCGAATTGAAGGTGGTGCCAATTTTGAACTTTTTCAACGTGTTGCGGCACTCCTTGTAGATGCTTCTGCAGGCTTAGAGTAACTAAAGTAAAGGACTTTGTTGGCTAAAGTGACTGTAACCCACTTGTAATACTCCAAGTGCTCAATGTTCGTAGAGATCCTTCTGTAGGCCTCGTCGATGTCGCCCTGAAACAAAGCGTCAGGCTCTATGGTGCGAATGGCGCACTCAATCAGTGAGTTGTGCAAGGCATTAAAAAACAGCGTCATATTATCCAGAGTGTGAAAGTAACGCGAATGGCCCCACACCAGACCCACAGTCAGCATCAGTGGACGAATTTCGGATCTATTTTCATCCATATCATTAGCCTCAAACTTGTCCATTTTCTTTTTCTGCAAAGGGAGGTCTGAACACCCTCCTCGACTACTTGTTTTTCTCTCCGTCACTTACCAGTGCCGATAGGCATTTTGTAATGTCCCTGGCCTCGGCCAGTGCATCGAGCACCAGCTCCACTATGCGACGATATGTTTGCTCAAAGATTGATTGAATTTTCTCGAGGACAAAGCCAATTGTCTTGATGCGCTTGTCGCCCAGCTGATCGGCTAGGTTTTCCAGATTCTCCAGGCGTGATTCCCAGAAGGCAAAAATGGCCTCGGTCTGTGGGAACTTCTCCTTGGAGTATATCTTTTGGTCTGGCTTAATGTTAACCATATCCTCCACCGCATCGAGCCATTTGACAACCATGAATTCGAGTGAATGCTTCATCTGGGAATGAACCACAGCAATGTCCCTGCAAGGCGGGTAGGGGACAACTCTGACGAAACGTAATCAAAAGAGCAATTTGTGTGGCACGAACCCTGCGGCTACGGCCGGTGCGGCATCCATGACCTCGTTCATACAAATGGGCAGGGGTAATATGGTTCGATTGATGACATATCCCATCATCTGGGCAATGCCGTTGCGCATCTCCTGTGACTCTGTCTTCATGTCGTTGGCAATCACACTCGTCCAGCCCACCTGATTGGCGGGGTTGTTCAGCAGCGGAAAGAAAACCTCATCCAACAGCACCGACAGATTTTTCAATGGATTCGGCAGCAGATCGCCAATCATCAGGGACTAACAGACAATGAAAGTGGACTGAATTAGTGCTCTAGAAATTGTAGGGTAATACTCACATCTAGCATATTCTCCTCGGTCAGTGTGAGGGGCATTGAATTGCGTATGAAGTAGGCCGTCTTGGTGCGCGGCTTTGAGGGGAAATTGAACGCGGGATACAGCTGTCCGCCCGTATTAATGGTAAATATCAGGCGATGCTGGTTCGGATCGTTCAGGAACTCCATTATCAGATCCTGTCGAAGAGGAATTTGCGAATGCATCGCTTGAAAAGCCATTCGAGTGTGCAGAATGTGGAAATTGAACAACGGCAAGGGAGTGGGACACCGGTGTGTTCCCCTGTCTGTGTGTTGGAGGCTGGGACTGTGGCTAATTATACTGCCAACGAACAACAGCGTGAGGAGGAGAGGCACAGCAGGCGGCACGGCGGTAAATGTTGCGATTTTGCAAAATAATCAGAAAAGGCTCTCAACATTTTACGTAAAACGAAAATGTGCAACACGCGGGCAAAATGTGCAACGAGTGCAATGGCGAGGAGGAGCAGGAGGGCAGGGCTTTGGCGGTGGTGGTCATTGGGGTGTGGCAAAAGTGCCTAGCTAGGCGCATCCCGGTAAACGCCTCCCGGCTGTCCATTCCAGCTGAATCCTTGCCAGGCAACGTGCAAGCGGGAGCGGAAGTGCTGCGGTCGCCTCTGTGTTACGTTATCTAATTACAAAGGAATTGTGCCGGTCCAGCTAGCCAACCTGCTCCACTGTCGCCACCGGAGACGAGCCCAGAACAGGCAGCAAAATATTATTTCTGTTCAAATGCACAACCGCCCCCCGAATGCTGCCGGCCATCAGCCGATTGATATATGCATGGAGCTGCGTGCCTCGTGCACTTAGAAACAGCAGAGGAAAAGGCAGAAAAAACAGATAATAAATATAGAAAATATATAAACATAACTGCCTCGCAGATACTTAACAAAATTGTCTAACAAAATATACAAAACAAAATGAAAACTTGGCGCAAACATCCTCTGCCGTTTCTCGTTGTGTGCGTAGCTCGGAGTACGCCCGGAGACTGGCCCGCAGTTAGTTACATAAACCCATAAAACGAGGAAGGGAGGGGACTGGGGGGAGCTGGCAATGAACAGACGGGGGCCACACGCATATGGGCTAAATACACTTGTGTCTAATAAGTTTTATCCAAATGGCCAACGAAGCGTGCACCCACACAAACACAGAGAGTTGGGTACCCCTGTGCCGCCGCTGTTTTTAGGCCGTACAATGGTTGAGGATGGGCTTTATAGTGGAATATATACGATATAGGATGTTCGGGGACTGACGTAGGTCCGCCATGAAGGTGGCACATAAACAAATGTAGGCTCGATGCGAGGCTTTTGGGGGGCCTCAGCTGCGTATGCGGCATATTTGAGCGCGCATGGCGAAAAATTGTCAAACTGCCGGCCGCGGCCCCAAAGTCAGTTAGGCTGGCAATCTGCTTAGCCGCTTTCCGTAGTCCACCCATTCTCAACCCACACGGTACATCCTGGGCAGAGTGGTGCACTGGCATTTAAATTGTGAAAAAATATTTGGACTCGCTCGTTGTGCACACTGCTGCCGGGAATGCCTCTGACTCTGCCTCTCTGGTTGGTCGTTAAATGAAAATTGAAGTTAGGTTTTTGGGCCGTTTGACTGACCGTTGCCGTCAGGTGGCACGCAGTAAAAATCTTTAAACAAACGGGGTCAAACGGGGCTGTGGATGGACGCTAATTGCGTGCTTGTCAACACTCGAAATAAAAATAATATTTGCAACAATTAAAAGCGCGCCAACGCCAACAAAAGAGCCAACATTTAGCCAACTCGTAGCAATTCAAAAGACGAAAAAAGGGCCAGCAAAAAAATAACTAAAATGTAACCCAAACAAAAGGTTCCCCAGGGTTCTTGCCACAAACGTCACCCGGCGCCTGGTGCATAATTTTTCAAATTATGAATTTCAAAAGGGACAAACTCCGAACTCCAAACAGCCAAGCAAAATTATGCAAACTGTTAATGCGCCAAAATCAAAGTAAATATGCCACAGGGGCCATCAAATGAACCGCAGGCGGTGAAAAGGCCCTACAAATTTCGCAGTAAGGATGTGTTGCACGTGACCTTCGCCACCCCCCAACCACAACTCTCTGCACGGGTAAACATTTGCACATAAATTCTATTCATATAACCGACTGAACATGCGAGTGCTTTTTCCCACAGCTACAATTAGTCGCTGGAGCGCTTACCTTGTACTCGTTGGTGGACATCAGCTTGGTCCATTTCTCCAGCTTTAGGCGCATAGTCTTGGACACATAGTTCCAGAAGAACTCGGGCCGATTGTCGATCTGTGTGGAGCAGGAGCAGCAGTATGAGGGATCGAAGCAATGTTGTAGCTTAGTGTCAGAATACCCACCACTTCCTTTTTCTTTTCGTCATCGTCAGCCATTTTTGAGCAATTATTTGCCTGTTGTTCTGTTGTTCTGTTGTTCACAAAATAAAATTCAATATGAGACTAAACTCAACAAACAGCTGACTTAGTCATGTGTACATTTATGACTGAATTGTCTTTGCAATCTACGACTTGCTGACTTATTTTCCCAATGATATTTGTTGCCACACAAAACCCAAACGAAGTTTGGCATTGATTTAGTATTTGTTAACTTATTTAATTTATTGACTGCGAATTTTGTTAAAGAAGATCAGCATTGTGTGGAGAGTGGAATCCGCTTGGGCAGATTCTTCTTCAGCAGCTTCCAGTTGATGCTCATGGGCACTGCCTCCGATCGTTTCTTGGGCAGCTTCTGCTTGCTGGCACCCTTGTGGCCCAGTTTGGAGTGACTGGCGGCCGTTTTAGAGCGACTAGCGGACATCTTGGAGCGACTGGCTGCCATCTTGGAGCGACTGGCAGCTATCTTGAAGCGTCCAGCGGCCAGACCGGGTGCCTTGATCGCCGCCTTTCTGTACTTCCGCTTGAGCACCATCTTGCCGCGGCCGGTTTGGATCGTGGAACCCGTCTTTAGCTGCTGCTTGCTCTTGCCCAAGCTCTTGCCGGACTTGGAGGATTTCAGCGCCTTGCTTAACGCCTTTCCAGCAGTCTTGATTGTCTTCAGGGACTTGAGTGACTTCAGCGACTTGGCAGACTTCTGCACCTTTGCGGACTTTGTCTTTGACTTTGATTTCTTGAGGGTCTTGAGTGACTTTTGCGGTGACAAAACAGCACCGCCTGAGGCCCGCTGTGCCATTGGCGTCACCGAGTACTTGGGCAGCATGGGTGGTGTGGTGTTCAAGGCGCGATCTGCCTTCACCAGCGACTCGGAGTTGCCAAACACCTGCCGCACATTGCGATTGACGTGCTCCAGATACTTGAGGGAGGCATGGCACACACTGCACTTGTGGGCGGACTCCGTGTTGTTGCGAATGAGGCTCTCCAGGTACAGGAAGTTCTTGGCGAGGTTCTCGCAGTAGGGACAGTTGTGCGTCATGATGCCGCTCAGCATGGGGTCCGTGGCGTTGGATGTGGGATCGTAGAGGCCCGGCTTCTGGATATTCTGCGCAGAATTGTTGGGCACAATGCAGTCTTTTGCTGTCTTCTTTTTATCCAAACCTATCATTTTTCTTAACACCGAAATTTTGTTAACCTTCAGAGGCTTCGACTGTTTCTAATTCGTTGTGGGAAAATAGAATGATTTTTAGTGTGGGGAAAGCCAAGAGAAGTCTGATCTGATAGCCTACCTGGCTCATCGTTTTTTGTTTGATTTCCAAAGTGTGTAAAAGTCTTTTGTTTTGTTTTATTTTAAAATGAGTCCCCCGTCTCGGCTGTTGCTAGACTGCTTCTGAGCCAGTTTGACATTGAAAGCAAATGTTGCTACTCCCATTTTTTGGGTGGCTCAATTAATCTCAATCTCTTGCTCATCAAAGGCCCGGCAATTTGTCCGCAAATCGTCAGCCTTGTCCTGCTCAATTATCGATCAAATAAATTGCAGTGAATATTTAAAGACTCGTTTCAAATTAATTTAAGCGCGGGTCGACCAGTGGCTTTGTCCCTGTATCGCTTGCGTCCTGGCCCTGCGCTCTCGTTTAATTTATACTTCCTTGGGCACAATTAGCGATAATCAGCTGGCAATGGCAGCTAGAGTTTTGTCGCTGGTCCTTTACCAATCCCATTCCCATTCCCAATCCCACTCTCATTCGCATTCGCATTCCAATTCTCTATGCTCCATTCTCCATTCTCATTTTCGTGTTTGTGTGTGTGTGTTGTATTTGGGTCAGTACGCTGCTGCGATGTGCTCACAATAATTTATTTCATTTCAAGATTTAATCGGGCGAAATTTTAGTTTGTCGTGTCGTTTGTTCTCTGTTCGCTCTCTGCTCTGTTTTCTGTTGTCCCGGCTAACACATTTTTAAATGCCCTCTTGGACAATGCTGACCTTGGACCTATGTACGCTCTGATTGCAGCCAAATGATGTAAGTGGCTGGCGGAAATGGTCCAAATGGGTAATTAGATGTCATTTTGGTTGGGGAAATTAAATACATTTTATTATGCCAATTGCCGCTGAATCAATACACCAAAACTTAACCCAGAAACCTCTTTATTATTCCATAATATTTCCATCGGAAATGAACATATTTTTTGGTGAAACTTTAAGTGGATTTCCATTGAATTGATCAACGTTTTATTCCGCTTAGCTGGAATTTATGTGTGTTTACAATTCAATACTCTCCGCTGAATGTCTCTATTTTATCCCATTTTTCTCGTATACCCAGGAACATCCGTCAGTTGCCATCCATTAAACTGCTGTGTGTGTCCTTCTGTCCTTCTTCCCAGGCGATGACGATGCGGATGCGGCAGACAACGCCCATAGCTCCAAAGACGATTCCCTGCGACACATAACTTCCAATTGAAAATATCTTAGAAAAGTCAAACACAAGTGCAAATGCCAATAAAACAGGACCTGCTCTGGGAAGCAGGAGCAGCAGCAGCACACAAGCACACAAGCACACAAGCACACAGACACACGACCAGCAAGCACATACAAAGTCGTTGTGGAGCTATAAAGTTGATTGTTCATAAATGTACGGGGCGTATACGTAATGTCAGGCACTGCACTAAACCAATGCAGGATTCTCAGCACACCAAGGGTGATGGTGGTGGTGCTGCTGCTGCCACTGCTGGAGAGTGCACCCATAAAGTGCCAGAGTAATGAATTTATTAAAAGCCCAGTTTGTTAAGCAACAGCCACAAAAGTGAAAAAGTGAAAGGCAAAACGCTCGGCCCAGCTCAGCCCAGCCCAGGACAGGACAGGTACTAGGTATGTTGGCCAAGTTTACGTAAATAGATTTCCATTATTCCGTATTCCGCATTCGTGCCATGCATGCGACTCTGAAAGGAAAAATGCGAGTGTTAATGCTAATGGATTTGTGCCAAGTTCTCGCCCGTACAATGTTTGGCTCACTGATTTATTCGTGGTCGAAAGCGGGACACTGCTTTTCCTTTGTCGCTGTTTGTTTTTTCCATTGTTGTACTCTAGCTAAGGGTATTGTGAAATGTAGAGAAGGAAGCCCAATGGGAGTTTAGATATACAGGAACAGCACCACTCAATTCTGCATCGAAGTTGAGAGGATTCTAAGTAAGAACCAAATAGCATTTTATTGCTTCTGTTTCTTTGATTTTATGAAGTAAGTTTAAGCTATTCAAATATGCAAAATTCACATGCTAGAGTATTCAAAGCTTAGCCACATATTCCTGCCTTCTTTTTTTGTGGCACACTTCGGGAAATTATATTCGTCTCATTGGCGCTGCTAAGTTTTGACCCACAAAGGTTGCCGCTTTGCCGTGTCCTTTCCCGCTCTAACGACTTCCTGAGCAGCGGCGTTGACCGAGCCAAGTCGCTGCACTGCACAGACTTCTTGGCCGAAATTTGCATGCCGTCTTCGTTAACGTTAACATTTGACTTTGACGTCGAAGTCGACGGTGACTGCGCTGCGGCCCCGCCTTGTTTATTCTGTTTGGCTTTCGTGTTACGTGTTTATCGCCTGCAAATGGCGAGATTCTTTGGAGAAAAAAAGTGAAAGCCGTCTCGCCTCTGGCTTTGCTGGGGGCTTTGCTCTCCTTAACTTTCCTCAACTTGGCTTTGCCCCAGTGTCGGCCGTCTCGACTGACGGTTGGTCGAGTGGGTGGGTGGCTGGCTTTGAGTTCAACTTTGCCTCGGCATTTCAATATCAACAGAGGCATGCAAATTTGCTCGGAAGTGTTCCTTCGAAAAAGTGTGCCCATGTGTGTGTGTGTGTGTGTGTTTGTGTGTGGAGTGGGCATGGCATGGCTGCTTTGTGCCACATTTGAAAGCGTCGGAAAGCAGGTCAACTTCATTTTTCGTGCTGACCGACAACCACAACGATGGGGGCAACAGAGCAGAACAGAACAGAAGCAGCAACAACAGGCGGTTGCTCGCTCCTTGTTCTCGTTCTCGTTCTCGTTCTCGTTGTTGCTGTTGTTTGATGTGCGAAAGCCGCAAACACAAATTAGCACAACAACAAGAACAGCAGGAGTGGCAGTGGCAGCAGCAACAGCGACAGCGGTGCCACCAACAACGCGTCCATAATTTCCTTTTGCAACACTGCGCCTCTGCCCTACACACACACACACCATCACACACACATTTGCATTGCAGTAGGCTCTGCTTTCGATTCGCGTTTTTGGTTTTAACTGCCTTCTGGTTGGGTTTTTTATTGTTATTATTTGGCGCTGAGGCATCAGCTGACGTAGCCGTCGACGTCGTCTGGGCAGTATAGCCGCCGCCACAGCCATCTTTGGCATAAAGTCCAAAGTGCAAATGTTTTGCGGTCAGTTTGGATTCGAAGTTGGCCAGCAACGCGACGCGTCGACATCGTAGTCATCGTAGTCGCACCTGCTACCTGCAAGCTTGCAGGCTTAGTGCCCAAAGCAGTCCAAAAAGAAGAGCCAGCCAGCCTGCCTTCCTCCTCTTACATTACATCCCATCCAGCTTTTTGCTTTGCATTCTTCCTGCCACTCGCATGGGCTGCGGTTTTTCCCGATTTTTTCCACCCAGTTCAGCGGCAGACTTTCGTTCATTCGCCGGAGTCGCGCTCTGTCTCCGTTGCCGAAATTCATTTGGAGTTTTTTTTTTGTTGGTTGGAAGGAGCTACACAGGTGGCACATCCACAGCCCGTACCACACACACGACGGAGAAAGCGTTAATCCTGCCACACTATGTCTGAAAGGAAAAGCAATTACCAGTGAATACAACCGACGAGCGGCTGGAGTCTGGTGGTGCGGTGTGGATGCCAACATACTGAAGAAAGATTCCAAACGAGAAGATCTTTAAGGAGAGCTTTAAGCTGTTTCCCAGAGTAAGTAAAAGTGATTAAAATGCTTGAATGCAGAACTAAAAGAGGGTAAGATATTCTTAAGCTATTTTCCAAATCAAAACCAGCAGGAATTATGTCCCTAAGTCTTGCTTATCCGACGAATACTTTAAACAACTCTCCAATCCTCATTTAATTCACTTTTTTGGGTGCTCTCTTTAAGCTTCTGTGCCGCAGCAATTTAGCTGGCGGCTGGGCTAACACAGAGAGAAAAAATCTTTGAAAAGCGCTTTATGAATTTTATGCTAATAAAATTTATGGCACAAAAAATAAAGAAGAAACTTGTGTATTTACACACAAAATTCGGCATACATATTTTGAAAACACACACACAACCGAAATATTTATTGTGCTCGCTGCAATTTCTCATAAAAGTTTCGGTTTTTTTTGTTTTGGGGAAAGTGGGACGAAGGCTGGTCCGAAAAAAAACAAAGCAAAATTGTGAACAGTTTAAACTTTTGCCTCCCTCCCTAGCTGCCCGCTTTATGCCCGATAAGTATGTTGCAAAATTCTGTGTGTTGCAAATGGGGCACGCTCTGTGGCAGGGAATTTAAAGCACAGCCAAGATGTGCAGAGGCGTTTAGTGCGATATTATCACCTGGTTTTGGGCTGTTGTGGCCATGGGTGTGCCGAGCATAAAATCTAAAATAATTTTATTTGCCACGCATTAAACGAGACGGTGAAGAGGCAGGGCAAAGTCTGTCTCAGGCTTCTGGTTGGAACTTTTTAGTCGGAGAGCTCGCAACGCATTTCAGCTAAAAGCTTTTCAATGCTGTTAACTATTTTTCATGGCGATACGCACCATAAACCCCTACCAGAGTAGTGCAAAATCCAAAGAACTTTGTGTCTGTGTGTGTGAGCGGAAATGGCATGAAAATCTCAACGGAATTGAAACACTTAATTTGCTAGCCCTTTACATACGTGTGCGGTGGTGCACCTTGAAGATAATGAGACAAAGCCGCTTAGCGATGCATGGGTCGGTCGCCTTTGTTGCGGCTTCGATAGCGGGTGGATCGGTGGGAGGTGTGGGCATTCCGAGTTAATGAAAAACATTTAATTGCAATGTCTCTGGCAGGGCAAATTAATTGTGTCGCCAGTGCAAAGATGCAACGCCAAAGGATACACAGCCAGAAAGAGATACCCGCCGGCGGGTCTCAATTGAACCCCCCATCGAAAGGTGTCAGCAATTAAGTGAAATCAGCACTTGGCATGCCGCTACCCACCGGGGAATTCGCAGCCAGTGGGAACTGCCAGTGTGTGTGCTGCATGCAAGGGATAATTAATCTTTTAGTTTGCCACCTGCCCTGCCCTTTGGTTCAATTAAGTCAGCTCGCTGTGGGGGGACTTTATGCGGTGGAAAGTGCAACAGCACTGCGGGCCAATGATCTATGTAATTATTATGCTTTGATCCAATTATGGAAGGCTAAATGAAGGTGAAAAACTGACAACGCATCTGTCAGACA